GGGCTAAGAACACGTTGATTCCTTCTCTGACAGAAAAGGGGAGAGTCACAACACCATATGCTCCTGGTTTCCCATACAAACAGCAAACGAAATCCGACAAGTAGTCAAGGACACTGAGGTCGTGCTCCACAACAATCACGTAGCTGCAACAAAAGGTCAAAGCCATGTAAGGCAGGGCATTTTGTGACATTTTCTTTAGGAACAAAACAGAGAGATGATGATCAAATCAAACCTGTCTGGTCTGAGGAGGGAGCGTATAACTTGAGCTGCCTTGAGTCTTTGCCTCACATCGAGGAAGCTAGAGGGTTCATCAAACATGTATATCTCGGCCTTCTTTATAAATACTGCGGCAATGGCAAACCTCTGCAGCTCGCCACCAGAAACATCTTTTGCTCTACGGTCCAGGACAGGTTCCAACTCCAAATCGGCACAAATCTGCGCCATGAGTCCCCTCTCGTCCAGCTTCTCAAGCATCTTCCCAAGATCACCTTGAACAAGTTTTTTTATTTGGTCGACATGTTGGGGCTTTAAAGCGGTCTGTCATGCATACAAGGTGGGGCATCAGACTCGCTTAATGAGCTGCTACCTTAGGTACAAAAATCAAGATCAATTCCACACTACCTTTAGATTTTCTTCTAAGACTCGGGTGAAATAGCTTTGGAGTTCTGACCCGCGGAAGTGTGTCAAAATTTCTTGCCAGTTCGGAGGATTCTGTCCAAGAGGTAGTAGAATAGTCATACATCAGCGACAGAAGAGATGCATTCTAAGCACAAGGAGTGTAGAAAATTAAAGAGAGGCTATAGTTACACTGAATCTGCCAAGATTTGGCTTCTGTTTTCCAGACAGGATCTTGAGAGCCGTTGATTTCCCAATACCGTTAGTTCCGACCAACCCTAGGACTTGCCCCGGTCTTGGAACTGGAAGCCTGCAAGACGAGATATATGTGAGAGCCCTAAAGTCAGATTACCAAACAGAGTCCATGAGGCCAGTTTAGGGGGGGGGGGTGAATGATTAGCTAGGCTAACCTGTGCAATTTAAAACCATTGGCCCCGTAGCGGTGGGTTGTATCTTTCAAAGGGGCATTTCTGCGGTTGTGCACCAAGAGATGTGACTAAATGTCCAACTTGCAGGTGACACATTCATTGTAAAATAGTAGAGCCTACCTTGACGCAGATACCGCATCCTATACACAGCTCCTCTGATAAGAAAGCAGTCTTGGAAGCAGGAGAAACCTCGATACAAAGTCTCCCTAGAGAAGCACAAGAAATCGTGTTATGCAGGAGTTTCATACTGAAAGCGAGGGAGGACAGGAAATCTCTACAGCAGTAAGCATTCCACAAAATAAAAGAGGGTACCCCGAGAAAGAATGTACCCGAGAGGGTACCCCGAGAAAGAATGTACCCGTCTTGACAACAGGACAGCTCTTCTTGCATTCCTGGCGGCATTTCTTCGGCTTGCAGCGGTCTTCACTCACGATAGCAATGCGCGTCAATCGATCAGCCATCTCGGATACTGCAAGATACACAAATCAACAATTAAAGTGCCTGGCTAGGAAAACACAACAAGTCTTTATAGGGATGATGTTGATTTGGCAATGACCAATGATGCTGGAAACTGCCATATGCAAATAACCACAGAGCTAATGACAAGTGAAACAGATATAAACGAGGGTAGGAATAGGTGACAAACACAGCATAAGCAAGCGAAAGTTTAGAAGACACATGACAAGAGAGAGACAGAAGCCAAACACGCAATTCAGGCTCGTAGGGAATCAGTGTTGATGTATAACAAGTAAGTAGGACATCCAAACACGAAGCTGAATCTGGTAATAAGTAGGAAATCGAAACACGAAGCTGAATCTGGGAAATTTAAGAAAAGTATACAACTTTTTACCAGTCAATCAGAAAGTATAAAATCACAAAATCCACGATAGACCAGGCATCAGAAAGAAAGCAGACATTTTTCAGTCTCCAAAGAAGAGAAATTTGACCAAAACAAAGCACAAAGAGCTGCAGGAAGAGAAACAAAGAAAACCCAGGAGGAGGAGCTTCCTGACATGTGCATCGAGCAGGAATCAAGCCAACAAAAGATGAACAATCGGCAAAAGAAGCATTCCAGATCAGACGAAAACGAGAAACGAGAAACGAGAAAGAGGGATAAGTGGTACCAGATCGGCGAGGAGGAGATCTTCCAAGCTTAGATCGGCCAAGAGGAGTGATACGGCGGCAGGTTAGGGTTTGGGTTTTTTACGTGTCCGTTCGTTCTTCTCTCTTGGGTAAGGC